AGGGCTGTGCGTGCCCAGCCAGGAGCACAGACTGCCCCCCGGCTCACAGCTGCTCCTCCCGCCAGTACCAGGCATCCGCAGGCCAGTGAAGCCCGGAGAAGACCCAGTGAAATGGGGAGTGGGGAGAGAAAAGACAAAAAAGAAGGACACGCTGTATATGTAGTTCAAGGAAAACAAACAAGCAAGCACTCTGAACAAGCCTTTTTTTTTGCACATGGAAGAATTCACAGTGTTACAGAGAGAGACTGCAACGCCAGCGAGTTCTGCCTCGAGGCCCAGGACAAAGTTGGGCTGCCTGTGGAAGAGGATGGAGAATGCATCAGTGTAATGCTGTGTGCTGCCCAGGAGACACCTGTCAACATGGGAAACCTGTGTTACTGCTTCTTGATCTCTTAAAATTATAGCTAATAAATAATAACAAAACCAGATTACACATTCATGATGGAATATTCAATTTGTTTATTCCCACTGATCACTGAAGAAAATACTAAATATACCAGCTATTTATATATTCTTACTATGAGGCATCAGAAGACTTCACATAGTACCAAGTTAACTTCTAGTTACCTTACATACCACTGCATGCATTACTGCTGGGGAACATTCCCAGAAAATAATTAAAACTCCCAATATGAAAACCAGAAGAAAATAAAGACATAACTAAGAGTACCAGCCTTTAATCTCCATTACTAAGACTGATCAACACTCATTGTATAAGAACAAGTAAAAATGTTGTTGCTCTGTAAGCTTAAGTCAGATAAAAATAAGAAATAGTATTATATCCATCTTTGCTTTATGATTCAGGTCAGGTTAAGAAATACAACTAGTAATGCATTCTCGACGAGACCTCCTCTCACATCCAAACCAGCCCTTACCTTTCTCAACAATTAAAGAGGAGGTACAAAACAAGATCTGACAGGTTTGCACATAACAAAGGGCAGACTGAACCTACAGGAATGGTGGAAATGCATCCATTCATCAGACCAAGATGAAGAAAGTGAACAAAATACAGAGCACTGCAATGGACGGGACTACAAGACCCCTGGTAACAAAAGCCAGTCACCTGCAGCAGGAGAATGGTCACATCAGAGTACAGCCCATACTGAAAGGGTTTAGAAGGAAACTGCTCATCACGAGCTTCAAGACGCTTAACACAGAGCTAAGGAGATATAAATAGCAGTTGGAAATGGTATTCTTTAGGAGTATGTCAGGACACAGCTCACTTTCTCATTCTGTGGCTACACGTACAGAAGATACAAAGAGAGCAGCTGGATGCCCCACCCCTGGAAACATTCAAGGTCAGACTGGGCTCTTAAGAAACCTGATTTAGCTGAAGATGTCCCTGCTCACTGCAGGGGGGTTGGACTAGAAGACTAAAGGTCCCTTCCAACCCAAACTATTCCATGACTCTGAAAATGAAATCTTACGGGATTTGATCCTCACTACACGTTCTGTACTAGTGCCACGGACTTGCTTTAAACATCAGTAACACACATTTTTGCAGTAACAACCAAAGTAAGACCATGCACTTCATGTATTCATAAGCTATAAAACATCTCTCCAGACTACCCAGACAAGCAGTTATTCACTCCGGTCCTTTGGCTCCCGGTACTTCCACTGGATGTAGTCAAAGATGTCTTCTTCACTTTCCACTGGCAGGGCCTCTCCAGCAACTCCTGCAAGTAAATTACAGATGCTATTTGAAAGGGGGAAGATTGAGACAAAACTTCTGTAAGTAAAGCAGACTTAAAAAGCCACCCAAACAACCCTCACTGCCCCTCTGGCCTTTTCATACAGTGATTATTCTCGTTAGAGTCAAAGGAAATAAGGTAATGAATTAACTTTGGGCCACGTGGTTGTGCAGTTAAATATATTTATAGTCGTGTGCATGTGTGTATAGTCACCTCCCCTCCAAAACAAACCAACTGAAGGACATGGCATATCCTGTGAAAAGAGTGGGAAACCCCTTATGTGCTGTGCTTGACACAGAAAAAACTATCTTTACACCAGTAAGACTTTAAGAAGATTAGGTAGCCCAAAGAGGTAACTCTGTGCCACAGCACTGCCTGTACATAAGCAGGCTGCCTCTTCTTGCTATAACACCAAAAAGGGCACTGCAAGAACAGTGTTTATCAGAGCTGTTTCCAAAGCACTGCACCCACCCAGAGAAGGGATCACCCAAAGCAAGGGACCAGAAGGAACGCTCTGTCACTGACCAGTGACACCCAAGCGGCGGATCGTGTATTCGTTGATGGTGAAGCCCATCTCCAGAGCGTGAGCTCTCATGTTCTTATTGAATATGTCACTCCCTGTGAAGTACAGCACACCACAGTAATACTGATCTTTGGGGATAAGCCTAGAGGAAAAAGCAGAAGTGCAGACTTAGAACAAATATATAACAGAAAGGTTACAAGCCACTTGGAATTCAGCCCTTCAGACACTGCTGTAGCTCTGCTTTCTGCTTGTGCCCAAACGCCCTGCAATTCCGTGCCTTTGATTTTCCCCAAGCCAGGTGCAAGAATGAAATGAACTGCATATCAAAGAAAGGTTCAGCACATCTAACTGACCCAGAAGTCACTGGTGTTCAGCCACTACCTGGTTATGGTGCTTGCACTCCTGCCAAGAATTAATGTCAAAGCAGGATGATAAAACAGAACGCAATTCTGAACCTGGACAGAACGTCGTGATTTAAAATACAGCATTATTGCCAATAACCTGCTGTACATACTGGCAGTTGTACAGTGGCTTCCTCAGTGAAAAGGAATTAGAAACCCAGTAAATGCCATGTTCTGAACATGGAAGTAGAGATCTGAATGCAGAGATGGATGTCAGTGCCTACTCTGTAGCAGACAGCTAAACTGGGGTTTGGGTGGGGTTTTCTGGCTCTATTACCGGATATCGATTCTTCTGTGGGGATAGGCTGTTCCATCTTCTTTGTCTGGCAGCTGACAGACACCCTGTGAGGAAGCAAGGCAAAAAAAACCTCTAAAAAATCCTAAAAAACCTCTAAACAATCCTCAGTTATCTGGAAAGCAAAGTTAAATTCCAGCTGAACTGAAACAGCTGGATATCAGAGTACAGTAAATCACTAAAAATTGGGGGGGAAAGGAAGTTTTTTCTTGAGAAATCCTCTGCCTCTTTTCAGTTCAAACTGCTTTTTAATCTTCATGCAATATTTAAGGAAAAAAAAAAAAAAAAAAAGGAGACCTTACTGTAAGAGATTCTCTAAGAGTTAACTGCAGGAAGTTTTTATGGGAGACAAGGGGGAGAATTCAAAAATAAAATAAAATCACATCACAGTTCCAGCAGTCCAAACATCTTGGATGTATCCCAGCTTCTGTCAAGAAAGGTAATCCCCCCCACAACATCCCTCACCACCAAAAAAGCCCTTACCATGAATTTGGTGTCACCTTTAGACAGCATATCTGTGACAAAGTGGACTTTTTCCAGTTGTTCTACAACTTGATGCAGAAGTTTTGACTAGGAACAATGACAACACAACAGAAATCAGTTCACAAGTAACGAGAACATCTTACCTATTTACTTGATGGTGGCTCACATAAGTACAGGACATCACCATAAATATGTGTATTATTCTATGTAAAATTTGACCCTGAGGGGAAAAATGTAACAATAATACTGAGAAAAAAACTGGTAAAATTACAGTTGTGCGACATAAAACCAATTTCCTGCTACCCCCAGGTCAGATTACTTTTAGTTGGAAGTGACCAATCTAACTCAGCTTCTAAGCTATGAATCTTTAGAAGCAACACAAGAAACAAACCACTGTCATTAATATTTCTTCAGAGTTAGTCCTAGCAGAGGACAAGGGCAGCAGGACATTTTCCTCTCATCTAAATGACTGTCACAGGTCTGCCTGTAAAAGCACAGGAGTTTGAAGGGGTGGAGGAACGAGTGTGATGGGAAGAGGAGGGCCTGAGAAGTGATTATAACTCCTCAAATTAGACACAGTGATCCAAGAGAGGAGTTTAAAATTACAGTAGTGAGAAGATGCTGCAGTACAAGTCTGAGACTGCGTGTTTTCTGAATTTAAACACACCCTGGTGGAAGTAAAGCCCAGCACTGACTCACAGCAGCTGGAAACACACCTGTTTGGAGGACTGAGATGTGAAGCTTGGATGGGTCAGGAGAACATCCATATCACCACTTGACTCTGCACCTGGGCAAGGGAGAAGCACAGAAAAGCCCCTCTGTGAATGACAAAGCGCACTAACATTGCTGAACATCCATCTAACCTTTTCCTGTAAACACGTTTTTCTCGTAGAAAACAGTCCCTATTCAAAATATTTGTAAAAAATACCCCAGAATTCTTCGCTGTACTCTCTGGCAGTGAAGGACAAATGTTGATCATGAAAAAGCACACAATTCACATTAGAACATACTACTCTTTATGGGGGCAGAAGCAAAGATTCATGTGGCTGCCTCATCACTGAACTGATTAGTCAAGACAATACCAACAGCAGAAGGCCAGGTTCTGGCACAGACTGTCTCTGGAAGAACACCACACACAGAAAAGGGTCTTGCTCATTATCCCAAAATAAACACAACAAGATCACAGAGTACCAACCTCGTCTAAAACTGCCACAGACTGTAGCAATATAGTTTGGGTCCAGCTTCTTTATCTCTTTCAGCACAATTTCCTGTGTAAAAAGGAAAGATGTGTGTTTGAAGGTGTCAGTCATTCACTGGCCATCAGTACCTCACATCCTCAACAAAGACATTCTTACCTGCATTTGCAGCATTTCTTCCCTTGGGATTCTTTTCTCAAAATCTTCAAAATATCTGCATATATAAAAATAAAAATGTCTGAAAGAGTGCCAGAGGCAGCATCTTAAATTTGTAGTCAATTAAATGTGTATCAGAGGAAGGAATACAACTTACATTAATGTCACATCACAGAAAGCTCCCAACTCTCACCAAGGGGAGAGTAAAACCTCAAAACTGCAAGTCTGACAATGCTTAGAAGATGGTTTTATTATTTCCACTGCACATGAAGAGCTGCTATGAGGTGGGAATAGTATATTCACCAATTGGTTAATATTCACCGAGCCTTCTGAAAATATAAAAGGTTCCTGACAAAACTCAGCGCATCAGCTAGCAGGAGGAACAGGTCCCTCGCTCTTGGTCAGAGGTGGCCTGTGTTGGAAAGTGCTAAATGGAAGCTCACAAGCCAAATATGGCTCCTGATGTATTTGCCTCGGGCTGCAAAAATCAGATGGCTACCATGCTTGCCTGACTGTGGGGAAAAAAAGGCCAAATGAAACACCAGCTGGCTTTCTGTGGTTCACCTGCAGCTCCAGGCAAACACAGTCGTGGTCCCTCAGACACACAAAGGTCCTGCCTTGTTCACAGCACAGAACAAATAAACAGTCTGGGCCACTTTTATGCAGATTGTGAAGAAACATCACCACAGCCTTGCTAAAGTGATTCCCCCTGAGCCAAGTGAAGAAGGAATTTGAAATCAACTTCCTTCTAAATGGAGACTAAGCCTCCCAAGCCCAGTGAAACAAAAGCTCTAAATAACTGCTGAAAAGCATGCAGAGCACAGAGAGAACAGAACCCTCCTTGGCCTGTGCCACCTTACATGACATCCTGGTGTCTGGAGGAGTCATTAGACAAGCCAAGCACCTGCACCCAAGGAAGCTTACTTCAGTCCGATTCGCTGGTGGTGGGTCAGCTTGTGCTCGATTTTTCTAAGATCTAGAACAATTAAGAAAAGAAAAACAAACGAGTTAGCTTAGCACTCAAAATATTACGGTAAGTTTTCAGCACTGCAAAAATGATGCAAACAAAGAATACGTGAGGAGAACACCACGAGCTCAAAGGAAGGAGTGTTAAACTGACTATGCAGCAGCTGGCAGGACGGCCACAAATGCACAGAGAGCTTCCCAATAAAGGCTTATCAGGCCACTGAAGAGCCCAAATCCTTGTTATCTTCCACATAACTTGCAAGGACTTTATTTTGGATATGTATATAATGCCTTAAGCCTCTGTACCACAGCACCTTCCACACCTCCCTCACAGCCTCGGGCACATTTGCTATCACAGAACCCTGTGGGAGAGGCAGCACGACAGAAGAACAATGTCACATCACTGGAGTGGGAACTGAGGCTCCAAACCTACACTTACCTTCTAAAGTCTTAATTCCTTCCTCTACAAACTTCCTAGCAGCAGCAGGACTGCAAAGAGACAAGGCAATCTGGTATCAGGAACAGCAAGAATCTTACAGCACTGAACAGGACATCCCAATTCACTGTAACTGTCTGTAATTGATGATTCTCCACCCTTTTGCCTCAGGCACTCGTGACATCAGCAAGTGACATCACAGGGTCTCAGCGTGGGCACTACATCATCACCTCAAACTTAATCTCTTCACTATTTGCGATCATCCAAATTGTCTTCATAAATCTATCACATAAACAGAGGAAGGGAGAAGACAAAACAAAACAATTTTTACCCAATGCCAGTAACTCGTGTCAGGAAATTGATAGAAGCACTTGTATCATCTTGCCGAATCTACAAAAACAAAACAGCACAAGCCAATTCCTCCTTTATCCCTTTTGCAATAAATAAAAAAGCCTTTGAGAAGATAAAACAGGTTAGTCAGACTCTGCTTTGGAGGCTCACCGTAAATTTCTACTTACCATACACCCTACGTTCACCATTCTTAAGACTGACCTCAATCTCTCCAGGGGCAAGAACAGAAACTGTGCAAAGCAAGCAGGCTACTTTGCAAGTTCCAAAGGAAAGCCACTATTGACAAACAGAGCACAAGGGAAAGGAACCCACCTTTTCCAATTTGCGTAGTTTTCCAGTGGATAAGAACTCATCTATCTTCTCAGCAATCTTAGCACCTACTCCATCCTAAATATTCAAGAAGCACTTCAAGTCATTATATTTGGAAAGAAATAGTCCAGAAAGAACTATGGGGCCCCCAAGACCATGACAAAATATGGGACCACAAAGGAGCACAAGAATTCCAGGCTACAACACAAGTCCTATGAGAAGCAGCTGAGGGAGCTGGGGGGGGGCTCAGCCTGGAGAAAAGGAGGCTCAGGGAGCACCTTCCTGCTCTCTGCAACTGCCTGACAGGAGTTAGAGGTTGGGCTCGCTGATCTCAGAGATCTTTTCCATCCCGGTTGAACCCGTGATTCTGTGAAACCCCCACAGCGGCCTCCCCGCCCCGGGTCCCCCCGCCAGCACCAGCCCCTACCAGCTTCTTGGCCTCAGCGCCGCTGCGGATCTTGCTGGGGTACCGGGCGATCACCGAGGCCGCCTTCCTGCGGAAAGTGGGGGTCAGCACCCGGGCCGGGGGGCGCGGGGGCCGCGGCGGGGCCGGGGGGGCCGTACCTGTAGGCGTTGTACTTGTGGATGGCCCGGTTCACGTTGCGCTCGTAGTTGGCCAGTTCTGCGGGAGGAGAGCGGTGACAGCCCGGCCACACACAGACAGACAGACAGACAGACAGACACACCAACCTACCCCCACCCACACACGGAGAGACACACACCAACCCACAGACACACGCACCGGGGGGACGGCACTTACCCATCAGGAAGTCGGTGATGCCCTCGTTGAGGCTCTCCTGGGGGGCTTTCCGCTTGCTCATGGCCGGCACCGGCACCGGGAGCGGCACGGAGCGGGACGGGGACAAGGATGGGGACCGGGACGGGGACGGGATCGGCCCCTCGCGGCTGCGGCCCCGGGAGCTCCGCGGAGCCGCCTCGGGAGGCGCTTCCGGCCGTGTCGTCACATCCGGTCCGGCCCCGGCGGGTCCCGCTGTGGGGGCCACCCGGCAGGACAGGGCGCATGCGCAGTGCGCGGCGGCGGCGGCGGCGGCGAGGGAGGGGCTTCGGTGGCGTTCGCAGAGGCGTTCCCGAGCTGTTCCAGAGCTGTTCCAGAGCTGTTCCAGAGCTGTCCTCAGAGCTGTTCCAGAGCTGTTCCAGAGGTGTTCCAGAGGTGTCCCCAGAGCTGTCCTCAGAGCTGTTCCAGAGCTGTTCTAGAGGTGTCCCCAGAGCTGTTCCAGAGCTGTTCCAGAGCTGTTCCAGAGCTGTCCTCAGAGCTGTTCCCAGAGCTGTTCCAGAGCTGTTCCAGAGGTGTCCCCAGAGCTGTCCTCAGAGCTGTTCCAGAGCTGTCCCCAGAGCTGTTCCAGAGCTGTTCCAGAGCTGTCCTCAGAGCTGTTCCCAGAGCTGTTCCAGAGCTGTCCCCAGAGCTGTCCCCAGAGCTGTTCCAGAGCTGTCCCCAGAGCTGTTCTAGAGGTGTCCCCAGAGCTGTTCCAGAGCTGTCCCCAGAGCTGTTCTAGAGGTGTCCCCAGAGCTGTTCCAGAGCTGTCCCCAGAGCTGTTCCAGAGCTGTTCTAGAGGTGTCCCCAGAGCTGTTCCAGAGCTGTTCCAGAGGTGTTCCAGAGGTGTCCCCAGAGGTGTTCCAGAGCTGTTCCCAGAGGTGTTCCAGAGCTGTTCCCAGAGGTGTTCCCAGAGGTGTTCCAGAGCTGTTCCCAGAGGTGTTCCCAGAGGTGTTCCAGAGGTGTTCCAGAGCTGTTCCCAGAGCTGTTCCAGAGGTGTTCCAGCTCTGTCCCCAGCTCTGTCCCCAGCTCTGTTCCAGCGCTATTCCCAGAGATGTCCCCAGCGCTGTTCCCAGCACCGTTCCCAGCCGTGTCTGCGATCCCTGAGTCCTCTGAACCCCAAACTGCTGTCGGGGAGCTGCCTGTCCCTTTACGGTGCAGTTTTATTTCTATTATTTCACTTGTAGATCATGAAACACTGGCAGCAGAAAGGGGAGGAGAAGGCAAGGAGAGAATGTCAGTTCAAATGATGGAGCAGGCTAAGGCAGATAAAATGTTCTGTGTGGCTTTTGTTTGTGTTGATCAGCTATTCTGTTCTGGAGAAATACATCTTACAATCAAAGGACCAGTNGCTGTCCCCAGAGCTGTTCCAGAGCTGTTCCAGAGCTGTTCCAGAGCTGTTCTAGAGGTGTCCTCAGAGCTGTTCCCAGAGCTGTTCCAGAGCTGTCCCCAAAGGTGTCCCCAGAGCTGTTCCAGAGGTGTCCCCAGAGGTGTCCCCAAAGGTGTCCCCAGAGCTGTTCCCAGAGGTGTTCCAGAGCTGTTCCAGAGGTGTCCCCAGAGGTGTCCCCAAAGGTGTCCCCAGAGGTGTCCCCAGAGCTGTCCCCAGAGCTGTTCCAGAGCTGTCCTCAGAGCTGTTCCAGAGGTGTCCCCAGAGCTGTTCCCAGAGGTGTCCCCAGAGCTGTTCCCAGAGGTGTTCCCAGAGCTGTTCCAGAGGTGTTCCAGAGCTGTTCCCAGAGGTGTCCCCAGAGCTGTTCCCAGAGGTGTTCCCAGAGCTGTTCCAGAGGTGTTCCAGAGCTGTTCCAGAGCTGTTCCCAGAGGTGTCCCCAGAGCTGTTCCCAGAGCTGTTCCCAGAGCTGTTCCAGAGCTGTTCCCAGAGGTGTCCCCAGAGCTGCTCCAGAGGTGTCCCCAGAGCTGTTCCAGAGGTGTCCCCAGAGCTGTCCCCAAAGGTGTCCCCAGAGCTGTTCCCAGAGGTGTTCCCAGAGGTGTTCCAGAGGTGTTCCAGAGCTGTTCCCAGAGGTGTTCCAGAGCTGTTCCCAGCTCTGTCCCCAGCTCTGTTCCAGCGCTATTCCCAGAGATGTCCCCAGCTCTGTCCCCAGCTCTGTTCCAGCGCTATTCCCAGAGATGTTCCCAGTGCCGTTCCCAGCCGTGTCCGCAATCCCTGAGTCCTCTGAACCCCAAACCGCTGTCGGGGAGCTGCCTGTCCCTTTACGGTGCAGTTTTATTTCTATTATTTCACTTGTAGATCATGAAACACTGGCAGCAGAAAGGGGAGGAGAAGGCAAGGAGAGAATGTCAGTTCAAATGATGGAGCAGGCTAAGGCAGATAAAATGTTCTGTGTGGCTTTTGTTTGTGTTGATCAGCTATTCTGTTCTGGAGAAATACATCTTACAATCAAAGGACCAGTTCATACATGATTTTAAAGGCTTGG